GATATAATTTCATTTTGAGATTTGGTCCAGTCTGCTTCACAGCACCTTTTTGGTCTTCCCAATGTTTTATATCCATTCTTGGAAAGTCATATAAACCAGAAGAGTAAAACATTAGCATGTTGAGTTGGTGTCTTTGGTTATTTCAAAACAAAACCAACGTTGCTTCCAAACCATGACCATTACTGTACTATGGGACTGAACCAATTTTCAAAATGAAATTATATCCAAATTCTAAATCAGATGAAATGTGGAGGGGGAAAAACAGCCATTGCACTTGGCCAAATGACAGGTCCTTGCAGGTTGTGTGGCAAGGTTTTCAGAAGAGGTTTACCATTGCCCCCTTCCTAGGGTTGAAAGAAAATAACCAGCGCAAAGAGCTGGCTTTGTGTCTAATGTGACACAGGACTTATAGTCTCCAAGAAATTTAGCATCGTACATTAACCACTACATCAAACTGGCTCTCATATTATTATGATATGCTTGAGAAATACAGCATAATCTGTTTTTAAAGAAGTAGACAAAGACACTATAGTGAATTGAAAGTTTACATGCAATGATACCAGTATTATTATTTTTTTTAGATCTTTATGGAAACACAGACTTTACCAATCTCTACCTGGTCAAATCAAGCCCAAAGTCTCAGTATTATTCCATGAAGTTCTATTCTGAAGTTATGTATCCATCAATGCAACATTTGCCTGATGCTGTGAGGTAAACAGACCAAGCACCGGACTAGTGAACTAAAATAAATAAAGATAGAGCATGAAAGGGCATCTTATGTTATTTTTACTGACCTGATTTTGCTCCTGACAATTTTCCCTCTATTTTAATTGACTCCATTATTAAAAAGCTTTGCACAGGAGATACTGGAACAGAAACCTAAACTCTAATAATAAAAGTAGTTAGAGTTACGCTATGATGTCATTAAAGTTTATGACTGACAGGTAACATTTTGTAAATAGGAGGAATAGTTGACTTGAATAATATTTTAAGATTTAACAATATTCAGTTAATATTTCAAAGAAATATAAACTATGAAAACAGTGTGATATTTTAATAACATTTTTTTAAAAAATGATATTAATTCAGAATACTGAATACAAAGTCAATAACTTTAAATCAAATTGTCATTTATATCAAAACAGTAACTATTAGAGGATTCTGCCTATAAAAACAACTCCCAAAGTTTGGTTATAACTGTAATTTAGATCGCAAGAGGCATATTTAAGTTAAAGTAAAATGAAAAGCAGCAGTTGCAAAGGCAAAAATCCAAAGAACAATTTCTAAGCAATCAAAAGTAAAAGAGCAGAAATCAGTAAGAAAACATAAAACTTTTTTGAGTGCTACACAATTCTTAAAATATGAAAATTTCAACATATTCCTGTTACAGATAATGCTCAAATTCCATAAGCAATTAGGGCTGAATTTTCCATCACTAACTGATGCAATCATAAAGCATGATGTTATGTAACCCTGTGGCTTAGCAATTATAATTCTAGCAGTCTCAGTTGCCATCATTAAATGAGGAATGCACAGAACATTTTGCAAAACCTATATGATCACAACTTACAACTTCCTGCCAGCTTTCCCGTTGACTTTGTTTGCAGGAAGCTGACAGGAAACATCAGAAATTATGATCACTGCATAAATTCTTCAATGGCTTGAACTCCAAGGACCAGTCATTCAATACTGTTGTAACTTTGAATTGTCAGTAAACAAATGGTTATAACCTAAGGACTACATGTGTATCACTCCAGTCTTCATCAGATAGGCATCCCCAGACTTGTTTGCCAATTACTAGTATGACCATCTCGGTTCACAACATTGAAACTCTACAATGAAAGAAACCACTTGACTTAGGAACAGGTCTATTTGACCTAGTCTGGTCCAACGTTAATCTTAAAACAAAAAGATTTCGGGGGATATTTTTTTTCCTACGGATCCATCAATAGTGAATTCATAAACCTGAACAACTGAGACTGCTCCTGAAACCTCCTTTAAACCAAAAACATTAAAATAACCCAACAAACTTCTATACTGCTACCTTTTTAATGAAATTACCAGATTATACTGAACTGTACTTGAGAAAGTGAAGGAAAACTGGCTTAATAATGAACTCTTTAGAATAAATTTTGAACTGTGAAAATACACTTCAAAATACAGTAGACATTCAGGATCTACATCTGTCCAAAAAAAAAAATGTCAGGCTGATTGTTTTGTTCCTTTCTAACTTTTTAAAAATTCTTCTAGGAAAGGAAAAAAATCAGATTTTACCAATGTATGGCACTCCCAACGCTTTTGACATCATTTACAGGTAACATTAAGATTTTAAAGAATGGTCATTATATAAATTGTTTAATGGGCAACTAATCAATATGATTAATCTTCATAATGTCAGTGTTTTTTCTGTCATATTCTTTTTACAATTTTTTAAATTTTATTTAGAACATTAAAATGCAAAATACAAAAGAAAAAAAATACCGTGTTCCCCCCAAAATATGACTCAGTCTTATATTCTTTTGCACCCCAATATAAGTACCATGTTTTATTTTGGGGGGATGTCTTACCTGCTTACCTTAGGACCACTACAGCCAGGCCTCCCAAGTCGTGACATCTGTTATACCACTCCCCATCTTCTTCTATGGCTGCTCCTGGCTGCTCACATGGGGCTGCCCTTGAAGAGCATCCGGTGACTTCAGCTAGTCCAGAATGCGGCCNTGGAAGAAAGAGGTGTATGGAGAGCGGAAGAGTTATATTGGGTTTTTATTTTCTGAGGCATTATTGACAAGAGGAATTGATGCAATTTTTGTTTAATGCTGTATGGTGTTGGTTATGTACAGTATACATGTAAGTGTATGAAATTGAAAATGAAAATAAAAAAAAATTGGGAAAAAAGAAAAAAAAAGAAAAATGTAAAATCAATGTACCAAAAGTCGAAGTCCTAGGGTATATGATTGATGGGTCTGGGATTCACCCGACCTCACAAAAACTTAAAGCCATTAAACCCACACCTCGCAATCAGACCGAATTACAGGCATTCCTTGGGCGCCTTAACATCTACAGCTTCTTTCTCAAACAGAAAGCCACAGTTGCTGAATGACTACATCGGCTCCTAGCCAAGAACGCGAAATGGTCCTGGGGAAAACCCGAGGTCACCGCATTGGTCGCCGTAAAAAGACTCTTATCAGCAGACTTGTTCCTAGTTGTGGACGCATATTCAAAATGGTTAGTAGTAGTGCTGATGAATCCCACTACAGCGAAATCAGTCATCAAGGTACTATGAGACTATTCTCCACGCACGGCCTCCCTGATGTACTAGTCTCTGACAACAGGCCCCAATTCACTGCCATGCAATTTGAAACATTCTTAGCAGCTCAGGTAGTCAGACACGCCCTGGTCGCGCCATTCCATCCGGCCTCCAATGGCCAGGCAGAACGGTTGGTAAGATCCACAAAGGAAGCCCTCAATAGGATGGGTCCAGGCGATGGGCAAACACAAATTGATCACTACTTACTCATACAACACATCACAACCAGTGCTACCACTGGAAGAAGCCCTGCTGAACTCCTCATAGGCCTCCGCCTAAGGTCTCACTTAGATCAGCTACACCCAAATTATTCCACTTCAACACCCCCTGACTCCACGAGCAAAGTCAGGTCTTTCACCATAGGAGACTCGGTATATGCACACAACTACACCGGGGGAACGTTAAATTCGAGGATGGTAGAAATTGGAGAAGGCATATAGAGCAACTAAATAGCCACTTGTCTAACTCAGCGCTTAGACAACCAAATATAACTCCTGCACGAACCGAAAGAAGCAACACGAAAAATAACAGTCCCTCCAAACCCAAGGAAAGCCCGAAATATCGGAAGACTTATCTGACTTTGATGCAGGCCAACAGTGATCTCTGAGCAAGTCAACGCCAGAAGCTCCAGCCGCAGCCTGGGAAAAGTTCCAGGAGGTTACACCAGGCAGGTCTGCAAGAGCAACAGGTCCGTCCGACTTGTGCGAAGGAAACACCAAGATGGATTTGCACAGGTCAGGCTGAGCTATGCAAAAGCCCACCTACCTGTGTGACTACATCACTAGTTAGATTGTTCCATCCTAGAGGGGAGAAATGTTAGATATCCCCCCCCCCCATTGACTGAAAGAGGTTTCCACCAATGTCCTCTGTTCTGGTGGGAACAGAGGTTGAATCTCATTGGTCAAGTGGTGTGACAGATCCCTTTAAAAGGGAATGCTGCCCAACTATTCCCGGCTTGATGTTTATTTGACTTGCAATAAACAGCTGTTGTTTACTGAAGCCTTTTGTGCCTCATTTACCCGATCTAACAAGAGTAGTAATAGAGATGGCAGCAAGGATAAATAGCCATAGTCTTCCCCATTCCAAGAGTCACAGCCCAGGAAGCTAACATCAACCCATCTCTAGAAACGTCTGGTGGGTGGCAGGCCACTCCACTGAAAGGGAACAGGCAGCAAGTGGGGAATGAGAGTAATAAAGAAACAATATTGTCCTCACAGAGTAAAGGGATATGAACCAAGCTTTAAAAAGACCAGCCCAAATACAGCTCCTGATAATATAGCACTATCAGAAGGAAGACAAGATTCAATATCATTGATAAAGGAGAAAATGCAGATGGAAGTCAACACATAAGCCAGAAAGCTAAATAGTTAAAAAAAGAAAAGAAAACCAGCCAATATACTTTAAATAACATATACTATTGTTGTGCTAGGATTCTTTTTGCATTGAAAGCAAATGTTTTCCCAAAATGATCTTTTTATTACTTGAGGCCACCAGACATCCTGACACCTACAATGGAGAAGTGGCGGAGTCAGAACTGGCTTGTCAGGTTGATTAAGCAACTCCTGTAAACACACCTGTGCTGTGCTGATATATACCCCTTCTCTTACTTCTTTTGCCTAAAACTGAGGCTGATCCTGAGCATTTCATGAAACTATCCCTTGAAAGCCTGACTCGGAATCTGCTCAGCTTTTGTGTGGGTAAGACTTCAGCCGTTAAACTCAGCACTTTCTGTTTGTGAAGCATGGACTGTAGTATCTATAAGAGGCTACTAATCTCAGATTTTTCTATCCAGTTTTTTATGTCTTCTCCTTTGTATGGACTTACACCAGCCTTGCCAACGTCTTTAGAGAAATCTATAGTATCAAAAAAATTAGACTGTTTAATAGTCAAGAAAAAGAAGATTGAAAAAAGCAGATGGCAAATAAGACTATTCTCTTTATCTAGCTTGATTCTGAGAATTTGCCCATTCTGTAGCTAAATTAATATTTAATCTGAAAAATAAGTCTTCTGAAAATGCCCAGTAGTGAATCTTTTCAAATTTTCTATAGTGTATGCATTTAATAACTATCCTTTTTCTCATTATTTTCC